GCATCAAATTGTTTCAAAATTGGCCCCAAATCTGTCAAATTGTCTGCACATGACATCAAATTAATTTTTGGAATAGACTGCAGATCTGTGCCAATGGAAACTGCATATAGTTCGAAGCCAACATTTGGACTTATCGGCAAGAAGTGCAAGGACACACAGAGGCTTACATCGAAAAATATCCGATCTTTGAGCGAAGATGCATTGGTTGGGAGAAAGAAATCAAATAATGAGAAGGTTGCTAGGTTGATAAGTTTGTATGCTTGTTTAAAGCTCTTTTATTCCACAACTGGCGAGACAATTGGATGGGCATACTATCAACACATGGAGTATTTGGACAACATGAGGGAATATGATTGGGCAGAAACCATCAAGTCCACATTAATGAATTCCATTGAACTTCATCATCAACGTTCAGAACGAGTGACTGGCTGTGTTATGGCTTTAATGGTATGTAATACTACTTTCACTCACATAACTATTAATGTGTACGTCTAAAACGATACATTCACCTTAGTTTATAATCATAATTTTTTTTGACATGCATATTAACTGATTATGTTGAGTCACATTGTCAAGATTTTGTTTTGACATTCATGTTTGAAGTATAAGCCTTCCCATTGTGAATGTTTGGAGTTAAATTTTCATCTTACATTGAAAATGTTCAATGATATACTTCATATTTCAATATTCACATCACATTGATTATGTTGGGTGAATGGTCACATTGTCAAGATTCTATTGTTGACATTTGTGTTTGAAGTATGAATCTTCTCATTGTGAATGTTTAGAGTTTGTTATCCATGTTACATTGATTATGTTGAATCTCATTATTGATATTCCATTGTTGACATTTCTATTCCAAGTGTGAATCTTCACATTGTAAATGATTGGAGTCTAGTTTCATTGTCACATTGATTATGTTGAGCCATATTGTTGATATTCCAATAGACTCAAAATATCATTGTTACTATTTGAAGTTTGTTTTGACATTTCATTAATTACATTGAGTGAATTGTCATATTGCTAACATTTGTGTTTGAAGTATGAATATTCAAATTGTGAATGTTTGGAGTTTGTTTTCCATATTACATTGATTATCTTGAGTTACATTGTCAAGGTTTTGTTTTGACATTCATAGTTGAAGTATAAGTCTTCCCATTGTGAATGTTTGTATTCTAATTTTCATCTTACATTGAAAATGCTCAATCATATAGTTGACAATTTGTTACATTTTATGTAGTATTGGCTGTGTGAGCATACCAAAATAGTGGAACCAATTTTGCAAAATGCAGCATCTCGATTTCTCAAATGGAATCTAACAAAACTTCACAAGAATGTGAAGAATTTGTCTTTCTCGTCAATCAATGATGATGAGGTTAGACACCACCATTATCCAATGTGAATAATATTAGTTATTGTGCTAAAACTAACAGTAATCTCTATTACCAGGTTTATATAGAGAAACTTATACTGACAGACCGTGAGAGCACACTGTTGGCGCAAACAATAATTCGAGATGAGGAGAATAAAAAAGATGCACCTGAGAGTATTATTCATCATGAAGTCAAAATTGAGGAAGAAATGGACATGAGCATACAAGAGGATGACATTGATGAGGCATTTGATACAGAGTTTGGCAATGAAGCAGAATTTCAGAGCAATGAACATGATGAAGCCAATATTGAGGAAGGTGCAGAGACTCTTGCATATCTACATGCACATGGGGTGCATCAAGTCATTGTGTCAAAGGTTGCTCAGGACAACATTATAGGGAAAATCGTTGCTGACCATCAAAAAGCATTAAACCTCATCGAGAAACTACAAAAATTAAGAACTAGAATCTGCAGGCAGCAAATGACATGAAAGACAAAATCATCTTGGAGCTGGAAACATTAATATGTAACCAGAAGGAGAATCCAACAGTTCAGAATGAGTTGTCCACTGTCAAACATACAATTGATAATAAGAATGCAGAGATAGAAAGGCAAAGCAACTCCATAATTGACCTCCAAATTGAAAAGACTATACTCCAACTTAAGAAAACTATGCTAGAAGATAAAATTGATGATGATGCAGTACATGCTGTCACACAACAAATAAACTAGGAGACTTTAGATGTGGAACTGAAGAAAAATTTGAAGAAGAAGACACAAAAAACTCCTACATCTTTGGTGAAGCGCATCAAAATAAAAAAAAGAAAGAAAGAATTAAAGTTGCCTGATTTTGAATATCAAGACAAAAAGGGTGACAAACAGAAAAGGAAGTTGGAAAATTTGGAACAAAATGACATTGAGAAGCAATGTGAAATTGTAGATCCAGATTTTGAAGGCTATTTGCACAAGCTTCGAGACTTCAAGCGTCCTAAACATAATAAGCTTAGGCTGTCTAACAAATATGAGGTTTGGAAGATCATATCTGAACAGGACAAGCAAAAGATAAGGAATATGCACAAAAATGGAGGTTACGGGTAAGCATATTTCAAACAACTTCTATGTCTTTACATACCATCCTTGTCTTATTATATCTAAACTCTAAATGTAGGTTAACTGTTTGGCGAGGAACCACCGAGGAGACTTATGTTTTCTATGACGATCTTGAGTCAATAATTCAAGACAAGTCCATAACAAACAATGTATGGTGCTTTGTACATTGTCCATTAAAGGTTATATATATTAACATTCACATCATAATCACATTAACATTGAATATATACAGGTCATAAATGCATATGCAGAAATTTTAAGAAGAAAGCAAGAATCAATGATGACAGATTCACAACAATTTGACAAATCATTCTTTTTCAACAGTTTGTGTTTGGTATAATTTGTTATTTTATTTTTTTTATCCTGAATTAAAAACAAGTTTGATCCCTTATTTATAAAACTAATTACTAACAAAGTGTTGTCAATGTTTACAGAGCATGATTAAAGATGAAAAAGTAGAACTCCAAACCAAATTCATTGATCCTCACATCAAGCAAGCAAATCAATACCGATATCTGCACTTTCCACTCATTTTAAGTATCATTGGACCATAGTAGTGAGCGACATGGATGATGGAGTGTGGAAGCACTACAATTCAATGGGGCCCAGAGATAGTTTTGAAGACATACACCTAGCTCAACCAAACATAATGGTAATTTCAATATTTCATTCAATAATATGAAAAAATGTACATCTTGAGTTACATATCAACGTAGTCAAAATATTATCTATTTTACACATCTAATCATATTCACAATCGCGGAAAACATATATCGAACCACATATTCAGAAATTACTCTCCACATCGGATATGGCAGATACATTAACACCCTCAAATTACGTCAAGCCATTGCAATCAGTTGATGCATGCCCTCAACAAGACCCAAATTCGTGAGTATTTACAATTAATATTCTCATTGACATAGTAGCGACAACCAATGTGAATATAACAAAATATTGATTCTTTCTTCTTTCTTTTTTTTCTCCTACAGTCTTAATTGCGGAGTTGCACTTTGCTACATAATGAGGCAACATGCCCTTCATGAACCAATTGAACCTGTGCTGGACAAGGAAGCTTGCCTTGCTATGAGAGCTCTATTAGTTAAAGCATTCCTGAATGATCCTGAAATAACAAATCATCCAAGTTTTGTTGTTGACACCAATGAGGATGCATCTTAGAACTAGACTTCATATTTTCACAGCCTACTATTTTCTTTTGATGTATTGATGAAACAATGTTAACATTAGCTTTTGTCCAAGTACAATATGTTTTGTATATAATATACCACTCACTAACATGTGAACTTGGGTATTGTTAGTTAGTAAACAATCATTCCACAAAGATGTTGATATGAATAGCTATATACATTTTGTCTACCAAGAAATGTACTTTTAATATCAATGTTCTTTCTTGGTCTTATTCATGGTGTATGAGTATTATTAGTCATTATATATGTTTGTTAAGCACAACACAATGTGAAAGTTTACATATGTATATCATATGCTCACCCTGTCAATACATATTGGGGATATATATAACTTTTCTACATTTTATTTTGCAAAAAATCAAAACAAACTATTTAAAAAAAAATGTAAAGAAACTACAAAATTACAAATTTCATAGAACAAATCAACTTTTTATTGACACATTGTATCAAAATATGAAAATTCACATTAAGAAGCTTGCACCAATAAGTACACTCATACATGAACTACTAAATTGTTTACTAATGCAAATGTATGTAACATTCACAGCACTATGTTATTTATTTAAAACAAATTCTGCACTATAAATACTCACAACTCAACATAATATTCACAACGATATCCAACACATGAACCAATACTCACAACTCAACATAATATTCACATGAACTCTATTATTTGATCTTTAACAACTTTAATTGTGGTTGCCCATCTTTTTCCATCTACCGCACCTCAAATCTGTTCAAAAACATATATCATATTCCATCCATGAACACATATTGTGTATATATATAACAAGATAATATTTTGTTTTGATAAAACTGATAAACAAACTATTTCATAAATACACAAAATGAAAAAAAAAACTACAAAATGACGAATTGCATAGAATTAATGAATTCCTTCTTATTCAAAAATTGTATCGAAATACAAAACAAGTACACTAATGTATCAACTAATAAAATGTGTATCCAATGCAAATGTATGTAACATTCACAATGGTATCTTATTTATCTAAAAAAAAAACACTGTAAATGTTCAAAACTGAATGTGAAACTCACAATGTCCACCAACACAACAACCAATATAACTCTATATTGGTTCTTTACACGACTTCCGATTGTGCCTGCCTATCTTTTCACATCTATCACATCTGATTTGACTTACTTTTTCCCCTCGAGATGGTATTCTACTCTTTCTCGGCCTACCAGCTGGCCATTTTACAATTGGAGGTAATTCTTTACACGACTTCCGATTGTGCCTGCCCATCTTTCCACATCTGCCACACCTGATTTGACTTACTTTTTCCCCTTAAGATGGTATTCTACTCTTTCTCGGCCTACCAGCTAGCCGTTTTACAATTGGAGGTAATATGATGAAATCGCTAGAGCAAAAATTTGGTTTCTCCATAGATGGTATTGGGAAAATAGCTGCTGCATATGCTTCCCTATAATTCTCTACATGAAAATATTTTTCAACACAATCATTAAGATTATATGCACTCCTTTGGATAGCTGCAACAGCATGTTCACAAGGAAATCCATTTATTTGCCATTGGTAGTAAGAACAAACACAGCGTCCAACATCAACCGTAACTGATGGAAACGAATGCACCTCGAACACATCATCATTAGCTTTACTCACATTCCATGACCTACTAGAATTGAATGAATCTTGGAGGTTAGTCTCAAAGGTAGGGCAAATAATTCCATTCCACTTGTTTGCAATATCCCTTCGCTCTGACATTTGACACATTATTTGATTCCGAATAGTATCAACCAATTTTGTTATTGGAAGATTTCGTGCTTCTTTAATCCAATTGTTGAATGATTCAGCAGCATTGGATGTCATCTCACCATATCGTTGTCCTCTAACACATAACAGCAAAAATTGTCACAATTTAATACCATATGTGACATTTCACGTTGTTATAACAACACAAAAATATAAACAATGTACATATAACCATCATTTTATTCCATGAAACACACAATTGTACACACTTTACCTAAAGTAAGCATTTGCCCAATGTTCTAGTTCTAACCCTGACAAGAAGTTATATGCTCGTTGCTTCCCCTTACGCTTTAACTCTTCTAGTAATGCATGAAAACCTGTCACAGTAGGTTCATATGCACAATCACCCAGCTTTCGTATTAAGTGTTCCTTGAAACCATTCTCCATACCCTTCAACTTGTCCCTAAAATTATTCTTTAAGTGTTGTAAACACTATCCATGATATGCTGATGGGAATGCCTTTGGCATTGCTTCCAAAAGCCCTAGATTACGATCGGATACAAATGTCATACGTCTATCATCAGCAATTACTTTTGACAGTTCATATAGAAACCATGACCAATTCGATTCACTCTCCGAATCAACAATTGCAAAGGCTACTGGAAACAATCCTAAAAACAAAACCAATATTAACAGTCACAACTCACACACAAAAAGTAAATAAATGTAAAACTTCACATCAAAAAACTAAACAAACCTTGGTTACTGTCTTTAGCTGTCGCTGCAAGCAACTGCGCTTTGTATCTCCCTTTTAGAAATGTTTCATCAAGAAAAAGCAAAGGGCGACAATATTTGAAGCCATTTATGCACGCAGCAAATGCTACAAAAAATCTTTTAAACTGACTAGTCTTCAAATCATAGTTAATATTGATATGATTTCCAGGATTATAATGCTGAACAGCATCACCATACCATCTCAGTTGGTCAAACGATGTTAAGTAATCACCATGCATAGCGTCTCTTGCTTTCTCAACACCTAACCATGCTACATGGTAGCTGATATCAAGTCCATAGTCTGCCTTGAAACTATATGCCACATCAGTGGGACGCATTAGTGGTCTGTCCCTAACACACTCAGATACAACATTTGACACCAAATCAGAGCTGAGCCTTGGATTTTTTGAAGTACGAACATCAGCACCACAACTATGTATCTTAGTCCATCTTTTAAGGTAGAAAAATTGGTTTGCTCTTTGGACTCTACCATGCACAGACCACAAACATCCCCTATCATCTCTATGTAAGCATACAACAGTAATTCGTTGTGAATCATTCTTCAAATATTTGAATTTAAACCCACATTGCACTGCATATTTGCATAAAATAGTACGAAACTCAAATGTTCCTCCTGTGAAACATTGACCAACATGCGTAATACCATTTGCCCAAACTGAAGACAACAAAACCTTCTCATTGTGTGCTCAATAGCTACGAAGCAAATTTGTTTGATCCTTATCTTCAACACATGGATTTACTAAACTACTATGTTTATCAGTGCCCAATTTTTGCTCAACAACAACAACATCAATTCGTTCAACTCCAATTGATTTACCAAGCAATAACATGTTTTGCAATTTCTCATTGTTATCCAAATGACAATTTGTATACCCCGGCAGTCGGTAAAACATTGTGATTGAATCAACAGACAAATCACACCATTTGTTGCACACACATTTCACTAACTCGTCAAAGGGAAATGATTGTACCACATTTATCACAAACATGTTTAACCCATAGCAGCACAACAACAACATCAAAAAATCCATTTGTCTCGTATCACACTGCAAAATCATCAATATTACATAAAATAATTTGAATATTCAATCACATTCATATGTGTGAAGATTTGCTAACACAATGAAATGTATCAGGATTTTTAAATAGTTCAAATATTCACATCATAAAAAAAAAACTCTACCTCCTCAACAAACAATCATAAGCCCTACATTTATCATCATACACACCACATACTGCAAATTTTCAGCTCACAGTATACACACATACATACAATTTTAATTATAAAATTCATATACTGATAACGTGAACTTCCAGTTCACTTAATGCTTAACAATAATTTGTTCAAACACTGATGCAACAAAACTTCATCATTCAAAATTTCACATGAACACAATGATTTCATCACAACAACGAATCAATCACTAATCGCATGACATAAACATCACCGTAATCAATTGATGAAGAACGACGAAGAACAACGAAGAACAAAATTGATGATAAACGAAGAAGAATGACAGAACAGAACAATGAAGAACAAAATTGATGACGAACAACAATGAAGAACAGAACAAATCAAAACACCAATCTCAAACAAAAACTAACCTTCTCCTTCTCCAGAATATCGGATAAAATCGCAAATCCAAAATCACAAAGACAAACCAGAAATTGCAAATCGTACAAAACCTAGAGCTTCAATAATCGCAAAATCGCGCCCAATCTATAGCTTCAGAAACTACGAAATCGAAAATGACAATAAGAAATCAGAAATTACAAAGAATCTGGAATCCAAATGCAGATCGTTGACTTTCCAAAAATCATATTCAAACAAGCACATATATATATAAGGGTAAAATGGTCAAAAATATATATAATAAAATTGAAAACAGGACCTCCGGGTCTAAAAGTATAAACTTTAGGATTTAATAAAATAAAAATAAAAAACATGAATTGATTGGTATAAAAAAATCTAAAATAAGATTTTCTGATAATTTTCCCAAATGCAAACTATAATTAATTTTTCTTCCCACTCCCCTTCATTTACTTTCCATTATTTTTCACATTAATCAAACTAATACATTAAAAAAATAAAATAAAATAAAAAATGCAAAGAAAAAAAAAAAAGAAAAAGAAGAAGGCGGGAAAGAGAGAGGAAGCGTGAAGGCACGTCGTCTTAACGATTGCGCTTTAAAGCCTCCCCAAATGTAGGCTTCCTCAAGCAAACCTCTCTCTCTCTCCAAACTCCTCCTTTCCTATCATTTTCTATTCATTTTCCTCTCTCTCTCTCTCTCTCTCTCCTTTCCTTCCTCGGTTTCACTCGGAAACACAAACCACATAAATACAGAAGAAACCAATCCACCAATTGTTTACAAAATTCAACAACAAACAAACATCTATATGTATACATGTAGATATATATATCACATAGAGATTGAAGGGGAGAGAGAGAGAGAGAGAGAGAGATTTTTAGAGAGAGAATTTGAGGGAAATGGGGATGAGGGAAACAGGGAGCGTGAATTACAAGGTGTTTGGGTGCATAAACAGGAAGTTCAGGATCAACGAGGCTGAGCCACCTCCGGACGTGAAGGACGCCTTTGCCCGGTTCGCCGATAAGGACTCTCAGACCATGTCCCCCGATCACCTCCACCGCTTTCTCCTCCATTTTCAGGGCGAAGAAACTTCTACCGTCTCCGATGCCGACCGTTTCATCCACCAGGTTATTCATCGCCGTCAGCACCTCACCAACTACCCTCGCCATGCTCTCACCCTCCATGATTTCTTTCACTCCCTCTTCTTTGATGATCTCAATGGCCCTATCAATCCAAAGGTCTAAACTCTCCACTTCTTTGAGTTCATTACAATCATTTCGCTTTATCAATGCTGCAATTTAATTTTTTGTCGTAATTCATTATTGGGTATTATAAGGTTTTCAATTCATTCATTTGATGAAGTCATTCTGGGTTATTGTTATTAGTATGTATCTATGAGTAAATTCTAATATGAATATAGTCTAAAAACTTAAGCTGCAAACGGAGAGACTTGAACCCAAAACTTCTCTCATGTTAGATCACCACTAATCCCAAAAGTTTGAGAAACAGGCTCAGTACATTGAGCTGTTCAACAAATATAGAAACTATTTGGGTATAGAAGCGGAGAAGACTGATTAAGATGGTTAATTTGGTTTGGTCAGTGCAACCAATTTTACTTGGTGCAATGGGGGTTTAAAAGTGATGAGGTTAAGCATGGTTGTTTGTGGTTGAACTTAAACTATGGCCTTGGAGAGTGAAGATTGGCAGATCTCGATTCATATAGCTGACTTTAAAGAGGTGGGACAAGGCTTTGTTTACTTGAAATTGCATTTGAGTTGGGTGGCAATTAAAGAATATTTCAGTTAGCATTTTCAAAGCACTTCTATTGCTTTTCAGATAAAAAAGGCATAACTTTTAATATTTTAATCGAAGAAATGTTTACTTTAAATGCTGACTAAGTAATAACATCATGCGGTGTCAATAGGGAAGCAGTATATTCTGCTATTCCTTTTTTACTCGGTCTACCTTTTATATTATTAATTTCACTCACCCGGGTTTTAGTTTTATGTTTGAATTTTTTTGTTAGAAATTGCCTTGAACAATTCCAACACAGACAAGTTTAAATTTTCCCTTGACAAGTTATATTATTTCAGGTACACCATGATATGACTGCTCCGTTGCAACACTATTTCATATATACTGGCCACAATTCCTATCTAACTGGGAACCAACTGAGCAGTGTTTGTAGCACCTTACCAATCATAAAGGCGCTGCAAAGAGGTGTGAGGGTAATAGAGCTAGATTTATGGCCGAATTCTACAAGAGATGACATTCATGTTCTTCATGGAAGGTATGGACTCATTCCAGATTGGTCCTATTTTTTTGAGTTGATCACTTTGTATATTTACAGTAAGTACTTTGTTTGTGTATCTTGGTCATCATGAGAAAAATAAGCATCAGCCTTAATTGAAATCTTATCTTTTTAGCAAACTGTTTCTAAATTTGTATTTGGGAAGGGATTTTTTTAGAAAGTTGGTTTCTTTGTGATACTAATATATAATGTTTTGAACAAAATGCTGATTGTTTATGCAACACATCACTGGTGACATAATAATTGTTAACCAACACTGATTAGTTTTATGCTATTCTGTTTGAGAATTGATTTTATAATCCAATTTATTTTTGGCTTGGAAATTTTTGTTGGGCTTGCCAGATCCCATTGCATTTGCAACATAGATTATTAGTTTGAACTCTTAAACATGAATCTACTCAAAATTTTGAAGATGTTATATATTTGATTTCATTATTGACTTGTACTTTTGCTTGGACTAATCTCGACTCCTAAATGAATGTAGGACCCTGACTGCTCCTGTGCCACTCATCAAATGCTTGAAGTCCATTAAAGAATATGCTTTTGTTAAATCTCCATACCCTGTGATAATTACTTTGGAGGACCATCTTACAGTGGACCTTCAGGCCAAGGTTGCAGAGGTTAGTTTTTTTTATTATTATTATTTATATTGATTTATTTATCATTATGATTTTAAATTGCAAAGACATGACTTTGATTTCAATGTTTCTCTTGTGATTAAAACGAAAAATTCCTCTAGATGGCCACTCAAACTTTTGGAGAATTGTTATATTACCCTGAGTCAGGGTGCTTAGAAGAATTTCCTTCACCAGAAGCCCTAAAGCATCGAATTGTTCTTTCAACTAAACCACCAAAGGAATACCTTGAATCTAAGCATCCAAAGGACAGAGAAACTACCTCACCAAGAGAGGGGGATTCATCTGAAGAAGAAGCATCACTAAAGGATTCACCAGACCTAACAGCTGAGCTGAATCCTGATGACAAGGTGAGCTCATAAATAAATTTCTTTGTCATTTTATAAATTAGGAATGAAATTTACTTCACTATTTTATAATTTGCAAGGTGCTCAATTACTTCAACACTTTAGAATTTCCTCATGGTTAGTGGAATGACACTGATCAGGATGATGCAGAAAGTGATGGCTCCGAGCAGAAATCAGGCCAACTAGAAGCACCTAAATACAAGCGTCTGATTGCCATTCATGCTGGGAAACCAAAGAAAGGTTTGAAAGAGTCATTGAAGTTTGGAATCGATAAAGTTAAACGTCTTAGTTTGAGCGAAAACGCACTTGAAAAGGCAGCAGCATGTTATGGTGCTGATCTTGTGAGGTAGTCACTGAAGTTCTGTGTGCTTATTAACTCCAACAAATAGCTTAAAATATTTACATTTATGCTCTAATCAGTCAAAAGATCTCTGCTTTTTTTATTTTGTAAGTATCTTCTCTCCTTTTCCCTCATAGGTTCACACAGATGAATATTATAAGGGTATACCCAAAGGGGACCCGAGTCACCTCCTCAAACTTCCAGCCACTTACTGCATGGATGCATGGAGCTCAGATGGTTGCATTCAATATGCAGGTTAGTTTTGAAGTTTTGTTTGTACAAAATCATGTTATTCATACTTTTTGTTTTTGGTGAGCTTGAGCTTTGCTAATATATTTTCTATGTCTCAAACCTTTTTTGTGGGTTTTAATTAGTTACTGACATGTAACAGTTTTAGGAAACCTGGCATGAAGTTGCCTAAAATTAGTTTTTGTAGTGGGTTAGGTTTAAAAAAGGCTTTGAGGGTTATGATTCTAAATGACATTACATAAGGTCCAAGACACTCTATGTGAAAATCAAACTGTCTTTTTCTTCTTTGTATGCTTTGAATGTGTCACAAGTACCTGAGAGCCTGAGACACAATTATGAGTTTTTAATCTTTAATTTTGATGCGCATTATACTTTATTTTGTAGCAAACCTTGTTAAAATGGCATTTTTCTTTGCCAAGAATAACCTCTAGATGCCAGCAGGGAGCTCATTTCCTCTGTGGATTTCATGTAGGCTGTTTGGATCATGAATTTGAGTATGGATTTGTGGAGGGGAAGATAAAAGGGAAGGGAAAAGGGACAAAAACAGAAGCTAAATTTGCCACATTTCCCTTCCTTTTCCCATTCCATCCACAAATCCCTACTCAAATCCAAGATCCAAATACAGCCGTAATGTTTTGACCTGAAAGTTTGCTGTGTTTTGACCTCCTGTTACAATCATCCTTTCATGTAGAAGTTACCATATTATATTTTACGTATTCTAAAATGTGTTTAATGATGTAATAATAGTGACATCTCATCAGCAATTATATCTAACCATCTACAGTCCCCCCCTTCTCTTCTGTATAATAAATAAATAGCAGAAACTCTAATAAAAAGTTAGTTAATATCCTTTGTTGTTGTTGTTGTTTTTTTTTTTTTTTTTTTTTGTTGTTGTTTTTTTTTTTTTTTTTTTTTTGAGGAATAGGGATATGGAAAATCACTCTGCTTGATGCATGGGATGTTCAGAGCCAACGGAGAGTGCGGTTATGTGAAAAAACCTGATTTTCTCATAAAGAAAGGTCCAAATAATGAGGTATTTGATCCTAAAGTAACCCTGCAGGTGAAGAAAACTTTAAAGGTTAGTTTATGGACTTGGATTTGTAGTAAAAATTTCATTTGTCTGGTGATATCATAATTGAGCATTTATTTATTTTAATAGGTGAGAGTATACATGGGAGATGGATGGCGTCTGGATTTTAGCCCCACACACTTCGATGCGTACTCACCTCCAGACTTCTACACAAAGGTTAGTTCACCTTTTGTTTTTTGGGGCTAAACTGTTCTGATCGAAAGATGGGATCTCTTACTACCGAACTTCTTGCTATCAAAATCCACATCTTGTCGTGATAGGAACCACGGACGCAGACATGGTGATTTCATAAATAAATAAAAAAAATGTCTTGGACATAACAATAAAAAAAATTCTTTTTATATATTTTTATTTGCTATGTAGATTAATATTATATCCATAAATAATCAAAATTAACAAAAACTAACATTAATGCACTAAAAAAAAAAAGAAAAAGTCCCTCACTTAAGATATCATTTGTAATTTTTATGGATAATCTATTAATTTTTTAAATCTAAGTAAAAGGTAATAAACATTCAACATCTAACATCTATCAAAAGTACTAAAGAACAAGGAAGAAAACTGGGTGTGTCCCGGTGAGAACCCAGCAGATCTCCTGAAAACAAATTAATTAAATAAGTGGACATGCCAGCTGTCCAACATTGTTACGGCACCTTTTTTGGAGTGTCGGTACTTCATAGTTGCTGTGCTTTGTGTGATCTATGAGATAAAATCAAGTATTTAGACACAAACATTAATTGGTTTAATTAAAGGAAATATAGTAGAAGGTGTTAACTAGTCTGAGTTACCTACTGCTAAATTCGTATGGCAGATACATATATTAGGAGTGCCAGCGGATGAGGCTAAGAAGAAAACAAAGATAATTGAGGATGACTGGGCACCCGTTTGGGATGAAGAGTTTACATTTCCATTGACGGTTCCAGAGCTAGCTCTGCTTCGAATTGAAGTACGAGAACACGACAGGTCAGAGAAGGATGACTTTGGCGGGCAGACGTGTTTGCCAGTCTCAGAGCTAAGATCAGGTATCCGGGCTGTCCCACTCTATGACAAAAAAGGGGAGAAATTTAGATCTGTAAAGCTTCTTATGCGGTTTCAGTTTGTATGATTTCCACTTGAGCTCGTAACTAGATTTTCTGTCCTAGGAATTGCACATCCAGTATTGATGTGTTTAGTAGATGTGCAATTTTATTAGAATATGTATAATTAAAAAAATAAAATACTTGTAGTGCTGGCTTGTGTTATCTCCACAGATGCTAAAAACTAAGTGTTTGTACCAACCACCGGTTTGGTTCCCGTAAAGTCGAAATATTTGGTTAGTCAGTCACTTGTCAATGGTACTGTCTAGTTGTGACTTAGTTTTTTGTTAAATGACTTCTCGACTCAGCAGTTGGTGAACGTAATTTGCGAAACAATTGATGATATTATTATGTGAAGTTCATTATTCTTAGGGCAGGAGTGCTATTCAGGCAATGTGTTGGTCTATTGTTCAACTCATAAATGGTTATCATTTGGCTGGAGTGTTATCTAGGCAATACAGTGTGTTGGTTTAACATTCAACTAACTAATGATTATAATTGAATTATGGCGTTGGAATGTATATAATATAGGAATATTTACGTGTAGGTTATTGTCTAATAGGTCTCATGAGAAAAATTTGTCATAAAAAGTCACTAATTTTAGCGACAATTTATAAAAATCATGACAAAAAAGTCACAATTGTCAATTTTTAGCGACATATATAAAAAATTGTCACCAAAAAATTATTTTTAGCGACAATTCTATCAAGATTTATTTTCAATAGGATTTGATGAGAATTAAGTTCAATTATTAGCCTAATAGTAAGAGTAATGATATGGTGATTACATTTGGCTATCATTTAATATGGTGATTACATTTGGCTATCATTTACTGTTAGCCACTAGAACTATTCTAAGGATTAGTATGAAACTCTCATTAAAGGGAGTTGAATTAGGGGACACTGACTTTTACCGATCAAAGAAGAAGAGGAAGAAGTGTGATTTTACTTTTATTAGTAAGTTTTTATTGTTATGAAAAAAATTCTACATATGAAGCCAATCAGCTAAACTCTCCACGAAGAGGCAACCTAAAAGATTAATTAGCTTTAAAAAAAAAAAAAAAAACCCCACCGAAGGATTAACTTCTCATAATTTGACAAGATGTGTTTGTTAGACCATGAATTGTCTCAAAAGATTTAGCTGTTATGAAATAAATATATGGAAAATTACAATTAAAAAAAAAATGATAGTTTGACCCTTGTAACAAAATAAATCTTAAATTCTTAATTTTGTTAATTTAAACATTAAACTTTTTATTTGTTTTTAATCTAAATTATTTGCCTATTTTCGTTAAGTAAAATCAATGAAAAAATAGATATTTTAGTCATTAAATTCAATGAAAATGATATTAAACATTTTATGTATATCTATATTGATTTAATAACTAAAATCAAATGATTAGGGTTTAAATTGATAAAATTAAAAATTTAAGATTTATTTTGTTAAAAGGCTCAAATTATGAGTTTTTTTTTTTTTTTTTTTTTTTTTTTTTTTAATTTTTAATGTTATACTTATCCCAATAAAATATGTGTGAAGCTATTTAATATATGCAAGATTGCAAGTAGAGATGTAAAGAGTGATTCTATTTACACTACTAGTTTATTCCTTTACATCCTCTATCTCATTATATCACTAAAAAAAATGTGATTCTCATTACACCCATTATATTACCAAAACAAACCCTAAATTCTTCATAACCCTTTTAGATTTGTCTTTATACCGATAGTTTTTGGTAATACAATGCTAAAGAATTTGAATTATTCTAGTGCCGTATTACTAGACAAACTAAATTTTTTTAGCAATTTGTTGCCATTCGATTGGATGATTTTACTAACAAGAAATTAGTTGGAGCCCATTGGTGAAGTGTCTGTTCGGTGATACATTGCTATATAAAATAGATTACTCCAGTGTCATGTTGTCGAACTAAAATAAAATTTTCCAACCACCTGTCACTTTACGTGCGTTGTAGATTGTTTTAATTGTTATTGCATTAAAGGCATTCCTTCGTTTCAATGTAATTAATATCTTTTTCGGTCGTACAATACTTTTTGACATGTCAACTAATAATGATTTTTTCTCCTTAGATAATCTACCAGCAAATCAGTGCTCTTCAAGATGTTCAGCAGCCAGATGATTGTACTTGCATTGCTGGAATGAGTAGAAGCGTAATCCTTCCAAAAAAGAAAAAAAAAATTAGAAATGCATGGTAATGAGTAATTGAACAAAATAAAAACATTCGGCCTTGAATTATCGAAAATGTATATTTTATTCGACAGTGGGTTACCAAACATATATTTTTTGTTCGGTAATGTGATTCCAGACTATTTTATTTTGTTTGATTTGGCACCCAAACAAAAGTCGAAGAACTCTTTCAAAAAACGAAATGAAAACCTACCCAACAAATAAAAAAACTCACCATTTTACTTTTTATTTTTATTCTTTTATAGTTCTTCATTATCGTTTCTTCATCCATTGCTTTCTTCTATGATCAAAACACTACGGGTATATTTGGCTTGGATTTGTAGAGTGATGGAAATTTTTTTCTAAAAAACTTGTTTGGTTTGTAATTTTTTCAAAATAATTTCCAAAATCACTTTCTCTTTCTTACATATCAATCAATCACTTTTGCTCTCTCATCTCTTCTTCTCTATCACTTTTTCTCTCACACACATCTAGTGAATTACAACAAAATATCAAATCATTCCAAACTCCAAAACTATTTTCAAAATACACAACCAAACAAACCAAAAAATTTTCTAAACTCTCTCTCCAAAACAGTTTTTAAAAACTACTCTCTCAAGACCAAACCAAACATACCCTATGATTCTTACCTTTTGAAAAGAGCTATGTAGCAAAGAAGAAAAATTAAGAAGGGAAAAAGAGCAGTAGGGATCGAAGAACAATGAGTGTAAGGAGATAATAAAATTTATTTAATTTTAATATTTTGTCCTTAAAGGTAATTTCAAATATAGGTAAAATTGGAAAAAAATAAAATAAAATCTCATATGAAGGGTATAAAAAGGTAAACTAGTGGTGTGAGTAGAATCACTCAGATGTAAATATCCATATATAGTGATACATAGAGAGAATAAATATTGTACAGGGCGTTCGGTTCAAAAGACCAAATTCAAATTTTTTTGTACAAAGGTCCAAGCACGAAATTATTATGTCCGTAAGGACATATTTTTGCACAATGACCAAGCTACCTTTATATATATGGTATCCACGGTGGAAACACAAACAAAACAAACCCTCATGTCTCTCAATTTCTCTCTCTCTCTTCAATCTTACGCGATCTATCTCTCCCCTACAATACCACCATTCTTGCCGTTGTTGATCTCATCCTTCGTCGCCTCCTCGTTGATCTCATCCTCCATCGCGACAGTCACTTTTCTCCATTGTCATGTAACACCATCGCTGCAAATCTCTCTCTCTAGGTTTTTCATCGATGTTGGTATGTTTTCACTTTCTCTCTCTACTCTCTCTCCTAGGGTTTCACTGGTGACGACAATGACGACGACGACAGAAAGAGGTGTCACAGGATTGGACGACAGTTGGCGGCAATGGTTATGAGGAGATTATCATTTGAAGGTGAAAACTTGAAGGACATCGACCAATGAGAATGAAGGACGCTGAGTGTGACAACCACAATCCATAATTAACCGTTAATCCATAATTAAAAATGTTAATCAAGTGATTAAATGAAATCATGTGTTAATTATGTGATTTGTGTGTTATTTACATTCCTATCTGTCTATTGTGTAGGAATATTTGTTTGAGTTTCTGTTTCGATATGAAATTGAAAGCCTTATTGACATCTGAATGTGAAATTGATTAGGTCAATGTATTATTTAGAATTTTAAAAAAATTCTGGTAAGTTTAATTAGATTTTGATTCGGAGTCAAATACTTAGAATAAATAAATTATTAAGGTCTCGTTTGAGAACAAACTATTTTAGTAATTTTTTGATTTTTTACGAATAGATATGCAGAAAAGTAGAGAGAGTGATGTGATAGCTTATACTGACTTTTTGGATTTTTGACTAAAAGTGAAGGTTGCCAAACGAGGCCTAAGTTGAATTAACTTAGCTCTAATCACATTTAATTAGTTTAAGCTAATTCTATCATATAAATAGGCCACTTGTAATTGAGTAGACTCGTTTTCTGTCATCATCTTGAGCAACAAGCATGAGAGAGAAGATAGTGTGGAATTGAGAGTGAATCAACAATCTAAAGAGAGGAGAATGAAGTTTTGAGCAAGGATTAAGGGAATTGAAGAAGAGTTGGGAAGGATTGGCTAGTTCTTCATTAATTCAAGACTTCAGGTGAGAATTCAACTCTTATATTATGAATTTGAGACATCAAATATATGAATTCAAGAAAATTAAGAAATTAGGCATATGAATTAAGCTAAGATTGAAGAATTTAAAAGTAAATCATGCATGCATGCATAATTCATCATGTGTTAAGTTTGATTTCCAAGAATTCCTACATGCATGTGTATATCCTTGTTAAATCTTGAGAGCTCTCCATGATTTCATACTTAATCATGTCATATGTTCATGTTTGGAAAGTAAGGAGCTCAAGTCATTGCATGCATGTATATAAATTTGAAGTTTCAACTTGGTTTTGAAGAATTGACATGCGTTTGGGCCTTGATTTTGTGAATTGATTTTCATTTCATGGTTTTATACAAGTGTCTAATTGTTTTCTACAAATTGTGGCCCAAAAGAATAGGTTTGAAGCTTTAAACATGTGTTTTGAACTTGAAGTAGAATTCTGGAAATACTAGAATTTGGTCATATTGCTCAAGCTACTAAATTGTCGCCCAAGCGCACGTTGAGAGCTCTCTGAAGTTTTGCAGAGTTTGAGGTTGGCTCGAGCATTTAAAAGACCACTCGAGTGACCACCCTTTATTTTCAGTCTTGGCTCGAGCAACCAAGAAATTGGCTCGAGTGTAAAATGAGAGCATCTAGTACTTTTGCAGACCAAAAGGCCTACTCGAGCGACCAAAGCATCGCTCGAGCGAACTGCCTTATTTTCTAAAATTTTTGTAAGTGTTTCAAAGTGCATAGTTGCATCTTCATCACATTCTAGGCATTCTTAAGCCATGGTTTAGGCTATAATAATGAGGATATGAATTAGAAACACACTAAGGAAAGAAATGTAACAAGTTAAGTATCTACAGAATGTGTGTTTCAATGTGTATCTGTTATGTGTCTGTGTAGGTCACGCACAACCGTTCGTCTGATCTTTTTTTAGAGCTATCTGTGAGTAACAACTCTGTAAAGATATGTTTGTACTTAAGTTATTTTTTGATTAAATGATTTACTCTACTTGTCTGAAATGATATTTTCTATATGAATGAATGA